GCCACCAAGCCCAGCTACAATGATTGGTTGCTCACTTTAAAGTCAATAAATGAATTAATCCTCTCATTGATAGGTAACTTAGAAATGCCTGCCAGTTAGTACCTATTCTGAAGTTTAAGAATGCTTTGGAATTTTCTATCAAGTTGAGTTTTTTTTTCTTTATTCTTAGAAAATTTAAAAATATTTTTTTGAGGTCTTTCTAAGAGTTGCCCTTTATTTCCCCTCAAAGGTAGAAATCTTTTTCTTCCGGCTTTGGAGTGCTTCAGTTTTTTTTTTTTTTTGTACATTGTCTAAGTGCTTTATGTCAACATATCAGTGGATTTTTGTACGTAGTTTTCATTTTTCACTGAATCTTTGATCATAGAGTCAAGAAAATAGGGAAGGATATGGGCTATGAAATTTGAAAGACCTAGTTTCTTCCCTGTCTCTGCATTTACTAATCTCTTGAAGTCTCTATAGCTCTAAAATGTGAGTAACTTCCTGGAGGATGTGTGTGTTACACGCATGCGCGTGCATGAGGCTATGAGTGATATGAGATTATATACTGGAAGCCTTTAAAACAGTCCTGAACTACAAGAGTGTAATAAATGCTTGTTTCCTTTCCTTGAATTAAGCCAGTAATCCACTTCATCCTTAAAAAGTTATTCCAATGTTAAATATTCTGTATTTTTTACTGAAACATTTTAAAAAGACTCAACTTAGGTAGGATCAACTGGGGAAGAAAAGAATTTCTGTAAAACCTTCTGATTCTTAATTTATATTGAAATGCCTGTTTCCTTATCCTTGAAGTCCATATACTGTCTTTTGCACTTAGTAGGAAGTTAAGGATGTCATTGAGATGTCATTGGATAGTAAAAGTAACATTGAGGAAGGGATCTGAAGGCCATTAAGTAGTCTTGACTTGTTTGCTTATTGATTTTTGTGGCATTTGCAAGTGACTGAACGAACACCCTATAGACATTATATCTTGTCCTTCTCAGTCCAAAAGTGAGAATAGGTTGAACCTACCTCCTCCTGCTTTAGTAGATAAGAAATCTGTACAAGGAGGGCTTTTGAGCACAGTAAAGGATCTCTAAAGATGTGAGTGTATTGGATTGGTTTCACTGTGGATCTGAAATTGCTTGTTAAAGGGGATAATCCATATGAAGTATGTTTCTAGGTAAGAATCTGGATATTTGAAAGACTAGAATTTTGGTAAATGGGAAGGTAAAGTCTTTGAAAGACAGAGACAATAGCTGCAGCGGCAACAACAACAGAAACACCATAATTTTAGGAAACAAAGACACAGGTTTTAAAAGACAGGAAAAACGCAGCAGAAGATGCTAATAACAGAATTTTTCTCATTGCTCATCTCTTGTTCTCTTTCCCATTTCTTGCCAATTTAGCTCAGTATTTTTTTTTAACCTTTTGTCTGTCCCACACAGACTTCTCTCCTTCCCCAGCCTTTTCATTGTTTTAGTTTCAAAGTTTTTGAAAACATAAACCAAGCTAGAGATACACTTGAGTTTTTTTCCTAGTTTCTTCTTGACCTTATAGGTAAAGATAAAACACCAAAAAAACTAAAACAACATTTCAAAGACTTTGCTTCTCTACAGAAAATAATCAGAATTTTTACTGTACTCTCTATCAGCTAACTATTGGTATAACAGACTACCTCAAAACTCAATTGCATAGTGAAATACTATAGCATGTTCAAAAATTTGCTGGTTGGCTGAGTGACTTATCTACATCTGTCTCATTTTTCCAGGGTACTGACTTATCTACCGATCTTCTTAAAGTTGCAGAAGTTCAAGAGGGTAGTCCCGATCATGCAGTTACATTTCATGTCTGCTTTTGTATGCTATCCCCTGACATGCCATTGATCAATGTCCATCTTCAGTGCTGTAGGAAATATGTCTTATAATATTATAAGAAAGTAAAAAGTAGCAATGGTGTAGAAGAATTGGGAGTCTTTTCTGGCTTTACATCTATGTCTACATTTTAGTCATGAGTGTGTTTATATACTATTTTTATTCTACCATTTTAGCTTAATTGATTGTGTAGAAATAAGTTTCTACATAAAGTATATATGAAATTACTTATTTTTAAAGATAACAGAACAATCATTTTGCTATGTTCCTAAGTTGGTATTGCCGGATGCTTTCACAAGGTTAGATTCATCATTTAAAAATCTACTTCTTGCTTAATGTGAAACATTTGTAGGTCCATTTGCATCAAAATCATATGGAGCTACTTATCTCCTGGAATCAAAAATTTTGGAGGGCTTCTTGGAATCCATATTATTAAAAAGCTTATCAGTTAATTATACAGATTCAGATTTTAAAACTTGGTTCCTTAGTGGAAGAACTTTTATGTTGTTTCTATTTTTCCAGCCTTATAAATAATAGCCATCAACATTTGTACAAATGAATCATTTCCTTGAGATATTCAGTAATCTTTCCCAGATCCATGATTGAATAATTCACAGTTAATGAAAATAATACATTGCTTAAAAAAAAGTGGTTCGAATTGCTGGTAGTGGTAAGATTGCAAGCAGGCTTGTACAGTTCCTTAAATATGTTATGTTCACTAAACTAAGACACTGAATTAGATAAAAAGAATTTCTGGAATATTTTTATATGTCTTTAACTTGTAACGTTGGATATTGCATGATATGTTCATGATCCCATTGTTAGTTATTTAGATGAAAGTAGAGAAGTTGATAGATTTACATGGAATTTTATTTTTCTCATCTTTCAACTCTGTTAATTTTCTTTTCTTTTTTTAAAATTGTTGGTGCTAGGGATCGAAACTAAGACCTTGGCATACTAGTCAATCAACCAACCGGGCTATATCCCAGCACAAATTTGATTTTTCCATTCCACTGTTATGATACTTTTTGGCATTTTATATGATTTTGCTTGTGTGTTTCATTATGTATTATTTAATAATCTTGGTTATTTTAACTCTAATATGATTTTTATGGAAGTGAATTTCTTTGATGGCATGGTAGACACTGCTAATGCCTTTCCAGTATACATTTTTTTCCCTGTCTTTTTAAGTTAACTGAGCCCTGATTTCATTTTCAAGGCAGTTTTTTTGCCTAGTTGAAAATTCATTTCCCAACCTCCTCTGCAGCTGTGCGTGCCATGAAACTTCCCAACCTCCTCTGCAGCTGTGCGTGCCATGAAACTTTGTTCTGCTCAGGTAGCAAGGCTTTAAGTGAAAGTGTTTAGGCAAGGGCTGTTAAAGAAGGCAGGTTCATTTGGTAAACACCTTTTGTTCCTTGTCCTTCCGTGCATCCTACCTAGAACTTATGTAGGGTGCTGAAGGAGGACCACGTAGTGACAGACATACTGATGAATGTCACACAGAAGGATACTGGAATGGAAAGACTGATGAGCTTGAATGCTTGATCATGTTGGGTGTCCTTATCAGTTTCTGGACTGGCTCACTGCTCGTCTTTTGATGTTAGAAAAACAAAAATCTCCAGATTATTGAAGCTTCCATTTTGATGACATTCTGGTACATATAGTTTCTAACTGATAATAGGATTTTTGTATATATATATTTCACTTAAAGATTTAATTGAAACCTTTTAAATTAAGGGTTAATTGATGAAATCTCTCATTTCATTTTGTAGTTCTTTAAGACTTTTGATTTCTTAATGTCTATGTTATGTATATAAGTCGTGAAGTTTGTGTTGAAATGGATATTTTACAATTCAGACATCAACAAATCTGAATGCAAACTGCTTAAATCTCAAATTCAGGAATCTAATATTAACTCAGTGTCATTATTCAGCAGTCCTGTTTATATTTCCCCAACTGTCCAGTAATGTCCTCTGTAACATTTAGTATGAAATAAGTCAGCTTCCCACGTTGTATTTGGTTTTACCAGGATTGTAGTGTCTCCTTTAATGTGGAGACTCACTCTTTGTCTTTGGTGGCATAGATATTTTTAAAGATAATAGAACAATTATTTTGCATAGTGATTCTCAGTTGGTGTTGTCTAAGGTTAGATTCATGTTACACATTTTCGTCAGGACCATCACAGTGTGTCTGTCAAGAGGTACACTAGCGTTTTGTCCCGTTATTGTTAATATTAACTTTGATATCTTTGCTAAGGTGGTGACCATCAGGTTTTCCACTATACCCTTACTCTTCTCCCTTTGTAGTTTGTACTAAGTAAATATTCTTTTCCTCATCAGACTTTCATCCTCTAGTTTAGTGTCCATTAATGATTCTTGACTGAATTAGTACTGAGGTAAAATGTAAAACATTTTCAAGAAATGTTTTTGTGGATCTGAAGTCATTGTAGTCTTATTTTCCTTATTATGGTTTTGTGCTTTATTTCATGGTGCTTTTAAAAATAGTTTTAGAGAATTTGTTTAAAGAATACAAAGATGTACGAAGGGAGGAATATGGTTTTTATTTAGGGAAGGTCATTAAAGAGTTTGATAATGGAATGCTATTGATCTATTTTTGTCCCCAATAGAATATAATCAATTATATAAAATATGAAGACAACTGAAACAAATGGGGAAAATCAACTCAAGTTAGGATGTTTTATGTCAGATTGGAGAATGAAATGATCTTTATTTCCTTTAAATAGAACTCAGGACCCTTCTGTTTTAATAACCCACTTAATGCATAGCCTGTCAAGAGCATATCTTTTCCAACATTCTAGGTGTTGATCTCAGGCTTATCCAACATGTGGATTGCTCCTTTTCTTGTTGGAGGCATAAATAAAGAGTTGAAGAATGGAACCCAAATTGTTAATTCTGTAAGACTTCTTGGAGATTAATGTAAAATTCCAATACCAGAACCACAAGAATTTAATAATGACTATCCATTGCATGGTTCATTCTTTCTAACAGAATGAAGTTAGTTCAGTTTCTCTTGAGTTCTATTCTTTTCTGCTTTTTTATTTAAATAGAAAGTCTTAAAATTTTCTTTTTGTATATTTCATACAAAAAAGAAGTTCATAGTATAATGATTCTGCTTTTTTATTTTCTCTAGCACCAACAGACATTTTTGAATCAACTGAGGGAAATTACTGGGATTAACGATGCCCAGATACTGCAGCAAGCCTTGAAGGTATGGCCCTGTTTCATGACATGCAGTTGTGGTATGCCCTCATTTCTTCTGTGTACTGTGTTTGAAAGTTGTTTTTTAGTTATACCATGTAGGTGGTAACAGAGATGGAAAAATTTACACTCATAACTTAATAGTCGCAGTTAAGACGCTACAAATTTTGAGCATGTTAGCTTTCATAAATCTAATGTTTCCATGATATCTTGGAGTGATAGATAAATTCTCTCTATATGACATGCTTTTCTTGAAAAATAGTGGGATGTGAATTTTAAGGTTAATAGATGATTTTATGCAAGAGACATGATTTCAGAATTTAATGGGATTCAGGGTGAGACTGATTAGAGAAAAAGGTGGAGGAGAAGGGAAAAACAGAGAATTATTAGAGGGTCAAACTTACATTTTTTCCCTCCCAAGAAGGAGAAATATATATTTCTTCTATTTGCTTCTTAAGAATATTTAATTCAAACCTCAGTAGTATGTGCAACAAATAAAATACATCTTTTTGGTTATATCTTAAATAAATCCTCATCTCCACACAGATGCTGGGATGAGTCAAATCACATGGATAATTCACATTGAAAAAGATCAAGTGAATGAAAGATATTCTAGAAATAGAACTGTGTTTTAAGCTCATTTGTATATTGCTGCTGAAGGCTAGCAGCAGTGTGGCGTTTAGTTACTGTAGTCACACATTGCTTCCCAGTCCTTTGGAACTTACTTCATGAGACAAAATCAGTTACGCAATTCTTGATCCTGGGCCATGTTCTGAAAACATTCTATCTTTTAGATGATTATAATAGAAATCATCATAATGATAATGATAATATCTAAGACTTATTAAAAGTTAATAGCAGCAGGCGTTGTCTTAAGTACTTTATGTGGGCTAACTCATCCTCATAATAACTACAAGATAAGTTCTATTTTCATTCCCCTTTTGAAGATGAGGAAACCGGTTAAAATACCATGCCCAAGATTTCACAGCCAGTGTGTGGAGGAATGTGGACTAGAAGCCACAGCAACCTGGTCCATGGTGCCACATGTGACTTTCTGATTCTTTTTCTAAAGGATTTTTGCTTCAACTTATTTCCCCATTAGAAAAATGATGAACATTACTGTTTAGTTCGTCAACTCAGGGATTATCGAAGCCATTGTGAGTATTTGGAGAGGAAGCTGAAACATCACATTTTAATTTTCATGATTATGACATTTAGATGATTGCCAGTCCTTTCTTTATTCTGATAAATACCATGGCTAAATCATTCCATGTCTATTTTCAGAAAGTGCCTTTCTCAATATACCACAGAGCCTGAAGCTGTTAGCCTGTAACTTTGCTGGGATAAATTTGGAGAATCACTTTTTTTTTTTTAAACTATAGATCAAATTAAGTCATATCTACATTTCTTTTGATGTAAGTTGTGTGAACATAGGTTTTGTTTTTGTTTTTGTTTTTTTACATTCTTTTGTTTCACTTATGGTGATAGGGGCAAGAGAGGTAGGCAGTGTACTTAAACCTTAATTGCTGTTATAAATTTGTAAAGTGTTTAAAATAAGTTGATTCTCTTAATATACAAGTTGTTTACTTTTGGGAAACATGATGTCACTGATTGATTTCAGCACTTTGAGATTTTATTTTTAATTGTACAAAGTAAATGATCCTGTGAAATTTCTACTGTATATAGTTTTTTTTTTTAATTATGATATAGTACATGAAAAATGCTTAGCATATTTCTTGGCACATGATAAATGCTCCATAAATATCAGTCACCAGTGTTACAGTTTATTTTATGATTAGTTTACTTGTTTAACAATAGAATATTTCATGCCCTTATTTTAAATGAGTCACTTAAAACTCTTACAGTGGTCATGAAGGTAACATTTTAAAGCGCTGATGCTTTTCATATTGCACTCTTACTTTCCTCACTGATTGTTAGAATTGGAGTTGGGTGGGTTTGAGTGACTTAATTCTTTTAGTTGCTTAGGCTTTAAATCTTAGAATCATCCTGATCCTCCTTCTGTCATGTCCCACATTTAATATGATAGTTATGGTGGATTCCCTGCTCCTGCCCTTTCTCACCTGTACTCTGTTCTTTATATATAGACAGAGTCAACCTTTTAAAATATGAGTCATACCATGTTATTGCTGTCCACTGGCTTCCTGTTACAAACATGTATATGCTGAAGTTCTTATGCCTTCCATGTTCTGGCCTTCTGTTACAGCGAGAGTATCATTTAGTTTCTTATGTTCTTTTAATCTCTTAGACCTAGTGTTATATTAACCATGTAGAGAATATAAAGAGTCCAGTGGGCAAGTCTCTTCTCATTATTTTTTTTGCTCTAAAAATTCTTAGTTATTCTAGCACCATCATGACTAATGAATTTTATAATATTTTGTCTAGTTATGCTTTTCATGAAAATTAAGGAAAATTTGTATATATATTTGGGAAGATTGTTTTCTTGGTAGCACTGTTATTTCTGTTCAGGAGTTGTGAATCAAGCTGCTATACCTTTTGCTGTTTTTTTTTCTATACACCCTTGACATTTTGTTTAAGTTTACCTCTAGGTATTTATTCTAATACTCAAATTATGGCAAATATCTTTTTTTTGTTCTTATTTGCAAAAGTAGTATATTATTTTTATTCCTTTGTGACAAGCTTCAGAAAAAAATCAATTTATTCTTTTGTTTAAAAGTATGAATTTGTGATTGAGTTTTGTTTAGCAGATATGAGAGTAATTGCAAATTAAAAAATTAGAGAATTGATTTTTTTACACTATATTTGTAGTTTTAATTATTAAAAAGAAAATTCCTATTTATATAGTGTACTTGATGGGTGAAGAATTTGTACTGTGGAATAATGTGTAGACTGCTCTCTAATCAAAGTGATTCTTGCTCTAAAGTTATTAGTTTTTATGGAGAAAATCACATAAATCTGTTGACAGTGTATAGAATTATTCTAAAACATTGGGTATTCTTATCTTGCTATTTGAAGGATAGTAATGGAAACTTGGAATTAGCAGTGGCTTTCCTTACTGCAAAGAATGCCAAGACCCCTCAGCAGGAGGAGACAACTTACTACCAAACAGCACTTCCTGGCAATGATAGATACATTAGTGTGGGAAGCCAAGCAGATACAAGTAAGTATCCTTTTTTTCCTTAATATTTTAATAGAAATGTATTGAGACTTTTTCTTTGATAAGATATTAATTTTTCTAAAGCAGAGATGGAGAACAACAATAAAACCAAAAAATTTAACCTTTTTTCATATAGTTGAAAGAAATATATGTATTTTTAGCTACATTAGATTTTATTTGTTATAGATCATTTCATAAACATTTCTTATAGTATCCATTGTTTTGAAATATAGAACAGCTACAGGTATTATACTCATAAAAAGGAAAAATTCTAGAATTTTAAATAGAAATAGCCATTTGTTTTGTAAATTTTAAGTGTCAATAGCAGCTTTGGTATTTCTTTTGAAGATAAACTATTATTTCTGATTATTTGTAGTTTTTATTATTCAGAATTTCCCTTCTCTCTTCTCCCTGCCTCCCCCAAATAAAGATTGGGGGAATAGGCTTATTGCCCTTGAACAAAATCCCCTCTTACTTCAAAGCAAATGAAAGAACTAAAGACAAAATAAAAACTTGGGAAGGGGTATTTTGGGGATACAGGTATACATACATACATAAGTAGGCATCTATGGAAGATTTTACATAGGACTTCATTCTTCTAGTTGCTTAGGCTTCAAATCTTAGAATCATCCTCATCCTCTATCTGTCATGTCCCACATTTAATATGATAGTTATGATGGACTCCCTGCTCCTGCCTTTTCTCACTTGTAGTCTGTTCCTAATATACAGACAGAGTCAACCTTTTAAAATATGAGTCATACCATGTCATTCCTGTCCAATATACATTACCTATTCCATGCATATACGTAATGTAAGCATTTATTTTTAAGCATATGGGTTTGAGAAGTTTGATTAGTAACATGTGTTCAAAGAGAACTTCTGATTTTATTTTTACACTTAGCGAAAGTTAGGAAACCACTCATTCTATCCTATCTCACACAGTTAATAGATGATGGGAAAAGTTTTGCATATGTGAGAGACCTAGGTGCTGTGTCCCAGTTTGAGATAAACTGTGACTTGGCCCCATGTAAACTCCAGCCTCATTTTTTTTTTTTTTTTGCTGTTTTGTCCTCCTATTTTACATTGTCATAATAATAATGGTTTGAATTTTGCATACACCCAGAGCCATTTAATTTCTTTGTCTCTGTGCTTGCTCTTCCTTCTGTCAGAAATTTCTTTTAACTTTTTCCTCCTTAGCCTAATTTCTTCTGGTCTTGAGATAGTTAAAGTAAAGATGCTTGCTGCTTGCTGCTTCTCTGGCCTCAAGGTTATATCAAATTTTTCTGCATCATCCAGAACATGTTTCTGTCTAATGAATACTATTATTTCAAAATTATTTGCTTGAACATTGTTGGTGTTCATACATGTTCATTGAATTATTTTTTTGTAGTATTTGTAGAAAGTCTCTTTTAAAAACAATGAAAGAAAATATGATTGAGAAGTTTGCTGTAAAAAGTTGGAAAAAACGAAATGATAATAATAAAAGAGGAATTAGTATCCGAATAATGCCTCATTTCTCTCTAGGTTCTGGGACTTAGGGATAGCAAAAAAAAAAAAAAAAAAGTAAAATAAAAGGACGACTTCTGGTTAAAGTAAAGCAAACAGGAAATTAAACAGCACTTAGTGTTTTAGTTGAAAATATAAAAAGATTTTAGAAAGATAGCTGTGAACTCTTACTATAGATGGTACAATTTGTGACATAAATAGAATATATGTTTTAAAGGGAAAATTCAAAGTATAAGAATTTCATGAACAAAAGAAGATATGTTACTTGTTATATAAAAGTGAGAAAATATTGCATAAGCCAAGTACTAAATACCACTTCCAAACTTTGGATAAGAAATAGTGAAACTGTTTTAGAGGACAAAAAAAAAAAAAAGTGAATAGGCACCTCTAAAAGAAGACAACCTTCAAAAGGCATGTGTTTCATTTTCTGATAATTAATTTTTTTCTCTGATATATGTATCTCTTGAAAAATCTTCATTAAGTAATTTTATTTTCCACCGAAAATAAAAGGTAGAGAAATGGATTTTCTGATTTTATCTCAGCTGATTTCCATATTTGAGTAAGTTGCTTGCTCGTGCGTGCGTGCGTGTGTGTGTGTGTGTGTGTGTGTGTGTGTTAAAATATGTTATCCTTCTAGCCAGGATGCCAATTGGGATAAGTACATTCATAAAGTTGTTTTAAGATTATTGGGAAGCGAGCTTATAGCACCTTAATATGGTGATTGTATTATAGTATTAGTGTCAAACTGGAAAAAGATCTCTTACAGAATTATAATACTTTTCCATTTAACATATAATACCATGTTTTATAAAATTCTAAGGAGTATAGCTGTCTTTAGGAAATATTTTGATTTAGTAACTGTTTAAGCATTATCAGAATACAGTTCTAAATTGCTATGCACTTACTGTGGAGAACTAATAACGTATTTTCGTGTGTGTGCATTTTTATTTCTTAGAAGTATTAGTGAGATTTACATATTGGATGGAAAGATAGGATATAGTTACAAATAAATATATATTTAAATGCAGCATCTATTAAAAATCTACAGAAGGTGCTGATGGGATGTAGAGTAATAGAATGATCAGTGTGTGAAGAGGTTCTCAAGGGACTGTTCTGGTTAAAAAAAACCTTTCTTGTGAGCATTTTCTCAAACTTATGTGAAACATGTTATTTGAAAGTTAGCCATTAATTCTTTTAGGTGTGGCAGGGTTTTAATTTCAGTAAGTTTTTTCTTTCTTCTAGTATAAAATCTCTCTTATAGTCAAGGCTAAAGAATAAGTAGATCATGGTGACTGACTGAAAGCATGCCATCTGTTGGTAGCAGTGCTGTAAAAACATCTGTTAATTTCAAATAAATATTCTGTATACTGAATAATATGCTTCCTTGTTGTTGGAATAAAACTATTTACAAATCAGTGTCTCTTTTAGAAGGAATGAAACTTGTTTCTTTGGTGACTAGAAAAATTTAGTCCCCCCGCCACCCCCACCCCTGTATTTGGGATCCAACCCAGGGCCTCATGAATGCTAGGCAAGTGCTCTGCCACTGAGCTACATTCCCAGTTTGAAAACTTTAGTTTTTGATTCAATATTTCCTGAAAGTCATATTTGGGGATTGTGGAGAAACTTTTATTTATACCTATCTTAATAGATCAAAGGCAATTTGTAAATTATGTCACTTGATTTGAAGGCCACTTACATTTGTCAGCTTTCATTTAATATTGAAGAAGTAATTACGTTTTACGTTTTCAGTTGTTAGTAAAACAATCTTACGCCTTTTAAACTCATTATTATCTTTCATTTTAGAGAAAGAAAGGATATATTTCAAGGAAATCTTATATATTGCATACTGAGGAGTTTAGAAGTATTGCATCCAGCATCTTTATATTATTTTGGTAACATTCTGTGTTGTATTTCTGTGTTGTGTTGGATTCTAGGAAAAGATACAATTCATTTGTAATATAATTAACATATTTCACACAAATCTTGGGGAACTCTTTTTCATTGCTTGGATCTCCTGTTCAGACTGGATAATGCAGATTTATTCAATGAGTATCTCCTGCTCCCAGCTTACATTGGGAATAAAATTATGTTGGAATTTTATAGTAAGGTACTAATGGAAATGAGGTTGATTACAGGGTGTTGAGTATTATGGGTGTAATTAATAGTGAGAACAGAAATTCTGTGAAGGTTTTGTGTCCCGGCAAACTCTTGGTCACAGACATGACCATACAAGGCTTTTGCCCAATTTGAAATCTGATAGAAATAGTCTTTATTTCATGACCATTAAATTCTTTTGAACTTTTTTAAAACAGGAAAAAAACAATATATGCCCTCCAGAACAAGATGTACTACAATTGAGCAATCAAAATATGGATTAAAAGATAAGAGGGATTTAGGTAGGTAATTTTAACACAAAAGTAATGCCACATAATTGACTTAAATTTTAGAGAAACAGTGTGTTTTTGTAATACACTGGAATCAATGTTAAGTGGTAGACCCTTCAAAAATTTAAATTCTTTGTATTTTTCACCCTAAAGAACTTTATTTGTTTAAAAGATTACATTCAATGTGAGGGAAACCTGGAGGCTTTAACCTAGAATTCTGGTTATGGTTCCATTGGTTGACCGTAAAAATAATGATTTAAAGCACAAGTAATAAATAGATCCAGTTCTAGTGTTCATATCTCTACTGAGGATAATCATTTACATCAAGCAGTTAAAGATTTTTATTATTGAACACTGATATTTTTTCCATTTACCAAATTTGTTAAACAAGTCACTTCATATAGAAAAAAAAATATGCAGTGAAAATTATCTCTTTTCATGGAAATTTCTGAAGTATAAAACTGTTCTGATGATTTGCCAACAGTCAAGGTTAATCTTTTAATAAGATGCTAAAGGATACGAAAGTTACTTATTTTAAAAATATTTTTTACTGTTGATGGACCATTATTTTATTTATTTATATGTGGTGCTAAGAATTAAACCCAGTGCCTCACACATACTAGGCAAGGCCCTTCCACTGAACTACAACCCTGGGCCTGAAAGTTACTTTATTAGATGTGATTAGGTGCTTCAGACTGATTAAGTACATTCTATTAGATGTGAACTGTAGAATGACTTGTAAAACTTTCTAAATTTTCCATCTTTCTGTTTTTGAGACTAGGTCTTACTCAGTTTTCCCAGTCTGGTCTTGAACTGATTTGCCCACTTTATCTTTCTTTAGTTTTAGGATAGAATGAGAATCATGGGCCTTTGTACTTGTTGTTGACGAACATGGAATATTTACTTCCATTTTTTTTCACTCCAAGTTGAAAATCATAGTAATAATAATAATGACACAATTCTGGAATGGTTCTCTTGGAGCTCATTTCGCTTTCTTTCCTTACTTGTCTTATGATGCTGCTATTTTAATTTTAGCAGCTATCATTGAAAACAACTAAATTTTTCTACAGTAGAGCTATTCAGTTTAGTTGTCACTAGTCACATGTGGCTATTAAAATTAAATAATATTGAAATTTTGTTCCCCACACTAGTATTAAATTTTTAATACTAGTAGCAGTACATGTAAAATAGTACATTCCAACATCACAGAAAGTTCTTTTAGGCAATACTGTTTTAGATAATCTGAATTTAGCAGTGAGAAGAGTAAAAAAGTAGGAATATCTTAAGGAAGCTGATCAGTTATGATAGGGAGGCAACAGTGAGTGAGAAACAAATTTCATATTGTTTATATCTTTATTCTTGTATTATTTAAAACAATACCTTATTTATCCTCTCTTAAAATATTTGTATGACTAGAGGTTATATTCTCAAGTCTTCTTATTAATGCCACTGTACAGATAACCCATTAGTTTTTATTTCTGTTCCATAATCTAGCTATTAACCTTTATTTGTCTAATACATACTTATCGGTTACCTGATACATATTATAGATATTTTGATAGGCAATTAAAATGTGTTTACATAGGAGAAAGACATTAAACAAGAAATATCTGGTAGTAGAACGTTCACAAAGAACAACAGAGCTGGGCAAAGAGATATTAGAGGGGTGTGGTTATGGGTTGAGCATAAGATGTACTATTTTAGGTCTTGTGGTTAGGGAATGCCTCTTGGATAAGGTCACATTGGTACAGATACCTAAGTGATGTGAGGAAGGGAAAACCTCATGGCTATCTGAGAGAAGTTCATCGCAGGCCAGGGCCTGAGGCAGGAGTATGTTTGACCTATGAAATGAATAGTGAGAATGCAATCTGAAGCTGAATGAATGAGGTTAATGATGGCAGTATTTTCATTTCCCATCTGTTGAACATTCCTGCATTTTTTCTGAAAGATATTCCTATTCTTCTGATGGTCTATTTTTTTAATATCTTAATTTTTAAAAATTTCAGTTGTAGATGGACACAATATCTTCATTTATTATTATTATTATTTTTATTTTTATGTGGTCCTGAGGATCTAACCCAGTGCCTCACACATGCTAGGCAAGTGCTCTACCACTGAGCTCCAGCTTCAGCCCCCTTTTTAAATATCTGTCTCTCTCAAAACAACTGTTCAGTTTGCAATTGTACTCGTTTTTGTATGCTCCATTTTCCTATAGCAACAGCATACATACTTTGCATATACCAGCCCAAAGTACTTTATGCATCTTTAATATTTGTTCGTGTGGAATTAAAAAAACCCACATAAATCAAAGTTAGAGATTTAGGAAAATTCCTTTTGTCTTTTTATTAAGGTTGTAATTCTTAAGAGAAACTGACATTTGTGTATTTATTTTTAAACAGTAAGTGTGCTCATTTCTGAGTAATACAAAGTTATTTCCACATACTCCCATAACCCGGTGCTGCTTCCTTGATTTATGCTAAGGTGAAGTAGTTTTACCCACTATTGTTCAGCATTATCAGTACAAATATAGCCACATAACATTTTAGTATTATTTTTAGTATTCTGTTTACTTAAGGAACTCCCATTCCTTCCTTAAAGTGTCACGGGGACCCTGGGACACCAAGGATCAATGGACCACATTTGGAGAACTGCTAGTAAGGTAGAAAGACTATTGGGTTTAAAAGTTAGAAGATATAAATTGGAAGCCTATGCACCATTCTCTGTCATGATAAAGTACTTCATTTCTCAGAGTTTCAACTATCACATTTATGAAATTGGTTAAAGAATCTAGTCTTGTTTTTCCTTCTGTGTTGCTTAGATTGTAATTGGTAAGTCATGAAAAGCTATTAGTATAGGTTTTTGCTATTTCTAAATGAGTTTCTGCTGTCATTTGGTTTGTCAGTCATGAAGCACTAAAAATTGTAGGTACTTTCAAAGCAGGAATTTAATGCAGGGGATTACATTACTAACAAATCACTGGAAGAACTGGAGAGAGGGATTTGTATCTCAGTTTTCTGAAATGACTTCCAGCTCCATGTGGGATTGACCAGCCAGAGAAGCTGTTCCTTGTGTCACAGTTAGGAAGACAGCCACTAGGACTGCTTGTTCAAGTAAATAACTAACTTCTGCAGCTGTAGCCTAGGAAACAGAAAGCCAGGATTAGGTAACTACCACTGAGGAATGCCAAGTCTGGTTGCCACTTATACTCACTTGACATTGTTGAAGCTGTAAATTGGATATAGGAATGCTACTGTGGAAAAGCCTACAACTGTCAAATAATGTTGAAGAAAACAGCCTGAAGCTGCAAAATAATGGCTGTACCTTTGCTTCTGCCTTTCAGATCTCATGTTAGTGCATCCAATTAATGTAACCTAAATCTTTTCCCAAATCTTAATTGCAGGTGAATAGGGAAGGTATACTTTTTTAATTTATTCATTTTTTGTTGTTAAAGAAAATATTCTAAACTAGCTGGGTGCTGTGGTACCCACCTGTAATCTCAGTGACTCAGTGGCTAAGGCAAGTTCAGGGTGGTAAGTTCAAAGCCAGCCTCAGTCTCAGCAACTTAGTGAGGTCCTAAGCAACTTAAGTGCAACACCATCCCTCTACTCTCCACCTCCCCCAAAAAATAAAATAAAAAAGAAAGTGCACTAGAAGGTTGAGAATGGAGTCTGAGTACTAATTGATCATATCCCTAAAACTGATATTTCTACTTCTCTTTGAGTTTCCTGTACATGATTTTCTCTTTACTTACCCATATTCTAGGCATTTTAATAAGCAACATAGTAGCTCTCTTTTTCATAATGCATTTCGTAACTCTTCCTTGCTTCATCAGTATTTAAGCTAGACTGGATATCTGCTTCGATTTTTAGCTCTGGTCTGAGTGAATATGGATCTTGAAGCCAGATTCATGAAACCTTTGGCCTATTGGCATAGGTAAAGTGTTACATCATTTCAATTACTTTGTTGTATTCTACATTTTACTTGATTGAATTTTAGGAAGCCCTTTATTTTCATGAGGTTTTATTCTTTAAGGACATTTGGAAAAAAACACCACCTTCTAATGGCCAGCTATTTCTTCTACTATTTTAAATATTCTTGTAAAATGCTGTTTGGAAAAAAAAAACTGGGTAATAATAGAAGTACACTTTTGGAACCATCAGTATATATTATTTTTTTTCCTCATTAAATGTAGAAAATACATAGACATACTTGCACACATACACATTACTATTGCCAGATGGTAAAATGAAGGTAACTTCTTCCATGCTTTCCCTTTTGTCTCTTGTAAAATTCTATGTAAATATCAAGAAAATAAATTTTAAAAATGTTTAAAATACAAACATGCAAAATGAATGCAAAACACAGATAAGCATAATCACAACCACACAAATATGATATACTTCATTCTTTTTTCCTTTCATATTTATTTCTATCATTGTTTAAATGATAATGGGAGTATTTTTTATTTGCTTATTCTAATTGACCAGTGCATTTGGGGGAAATGGATTAAAAGTACTTTTACTGAAAGTGATAATAATTGTAGCTTTTATTCTTTGGAAAAAGAATTAATACATGTAGCATCAAGGCTTTCACTTGTTAGAAGGTGAATATTCATTCACTTATATATTTGTTTTGGTGAAATGAAAATCTCATTTTAAATAAAAGAGCTGCATATTTATTAAATAATTCATGTGGCTCAGATGTGCTTAAAACACAAAATTGAAAGCTCCTTGCACATTCTTCTCCAGTGACTCTTTTCAATAGAGTTAACCACTGTTGACGGTTTGGCACATTGTTTCCAACTTTAAAGCGTGTGCACACATGTGCGTGTACAACCACACACACACACACACACACACACACCCCTATACCTATTTATGGTTAATTAATATCTGAAACAAGTTTTTGAGGACTTAGTTGTTATAATTGAATAGATGATTCGTAGATGGTAATATCGACAGAATTAATATGTATGTAATTTGGTTAACTTCAGAGAAAATAGACGTGTTTGTGCTGATTTCAATTTTTGTTGATGAAGAAATCATCCTCAAAGAATACGTTCTCAGCAGTCTTTCTGCCTACTAGTGTTTAGTGAGAAACTTCATAATAAATTCTGAGATTCTTCTGTAGTGAAAGATATTTCTGCTCCTACTGCTTTAGGTTTGTTTTATAGATGAGAACATTAAGTTACCAAGTATAAGTTAAAAATGTATTTGTGTTCTTTTTATATAAGTTCTTCCTATAAAATAAATAGAATTAAGTTGGTGATGACTTTGGTTTAAAAGGGTATATTAGGTATGAAATCTTCTTGATAAGAATTACTTTTAATTTTGTATGACTTTTAATTTTGAGAAAGACAATTTTGCTTTTCAGATGTGATTGATCTCACTGGAGATGATAAAGATGATCTTCAGAGAGCAATTGCCTTGAGTTTGGCGGAATCAAACAGGGCATTCAGGGAGACTGGAATAACTGATGAGGAGCAAGCCATTAGCAGGTAAAACATAATCTGTGTAAAGTAGATTATTAAAATAATATATATAACAAGTAATAATTTGCTTTGATAATCTTTATTGTAAATAAATCATTAATATGCTTCTGTGTTATTTTTATGTTTTATGTAAACTTTTCATATTATAGTCCTGTTGGCATTTGAACTTAGATTTCTAAGATTTTGGAATGCCATTATGCAGCATTACATTTAGATATATTTAAATGTTCTTTTAAAATTTTTTTTCTTTCCCTAAATCCCTTTTGAGTATACTGCCTAATTCAACTCTAATAATTTATAGCCAGGGTCAGCAGACTTTTCCTGTATGAGCCAATAGTAAATATTTTTGGCTTTGTTGGCCATATGGTGTCTGTCACAACTACTCAACTTGGGTGTTGTATTGCAAAAGCAACCATAGCTAATGTATAATATAATAAAGTTGACTGTTTTTCAATAAATCTTGATTTATATAAATAATCAGCAAGCTAGATATATCACACGCAGTAGATTGCCAATCTCTGATCTGTACTCTGATAGTATGTTTTCATATATATTTTATATATATATTTATATATATTCTATGATATATATATATTTATTTATTTTATTATTATTTTTAAATTAAATTAAATTTATTTTTATTTTTATTTTTTTTATTGGTTGTTCACAACATTACAAAGCTCTTGACATATTATGATATATATATTTAAAGTTGTATGTACATATATACAACTATCATAGTGGTGTGTGTGTGTGTGTGTGTGTGTGTGTATATATATATATATATATATGAAATAGGGTTCTAAGATGTGTGATAAAATGTGTTTTTCATTAATACATATAATTTTTTAGCTCGAAACAATTTGCTTAACCTAAGGATTAAATAAATAAATTTGGTTTTATCACTAAGCAGTGCTTATTTAAAAAAAGGAAAAACTTAAATTATAACTAACTATAACTCTCTAAGCAGCTATTTTGAAACAGTGGTATTTTTTTGAAGAAGACATTTTGCTTTCAATAAGTTAAATGAGTTTCCAAAGACAAGTTCATAAGAAGGGTCGTACGACTCCATTGTTCTTTTTATTATAGTACAGTTATTAGTAGCACAGCATACCAGCTTTCTTAGATAATTACCCTTGGCATGATATCAGTAATATAATTTTTAATAAATAATCTGAGATTATTGTATGGCAGGAGATGTTTCAAAATGCTGTTGTATTTAGCAAACACTTAATTATTTTTTTGGTAATGCTTTTAATGTCTACATGTTTCTTTGGAAATTACTTTGTGTAAGACATTATCTTGAGATCTAAAGACTTAAAATTCCTTGTTCCCCTCTCTAGTGTGACTAATTTTTAGTGCTGGTAATTTTAAATGAAAACCAAAAAGGACATAGACTATCTTTGTCCATTTTAATTTTGCTTATTTTGTGAAGGATTTGAAAAATTAAATAAATTTGGCTTTATCTTTTAAAAATTGATTGCATTAAATAATTGCTTTGAATAGTTGTAGAACTTGACAGGACTTAAACTTGGAGAAATATAGTTGTTTTCCCTTAGGTGCGGAGGATATATTTGAAGATTATTATGTGAAAGAGGTTATAAAATACATATATGTATATTTTTGGTTACATGACTTTATATTAGCATTCAAATATGAAAAAGTCTGAAAACTTATATACCAGTTTAGAATTAGTTCTATGTCTTGTTTTCTCAAGTAACATATGCTAATTGTTGTCATGTACTAGTTAACTGTGGAGATAGGTTCTGAGAAACTCATCATTAGGCAATTTCATTAGACTGTGTGTACATCATGGATTATACTTACACAAACCTAGATGGTAAAGGTCAACCACTCAGTATGGCTTCTTGATGCAATCCAGAGGTGTAGTAAATATGAAAAGTATGAGGCTGCTGTCAACCTAATGGAACATACTGTTTCACAGTAAAAATTTCTTTTACATTGAAGTACACTATAAAATAACAATAAAATATATAGTATAATAAATATATAAAACACTATCATAGTCATTGTTATCAAGAATTATGAATTGTATATAATTGTATCTACTAGATCTTTATGGGATTGGCAGTGCAATTGGTTTGTTTACACCAGCGTTACCACACACATGTAGTGCTTGTGTTATGGCATTACAGTGGCTACCTGATCACGAGGCAGTAGGAATTATTCATCTTCATTATAATCTCATTATTGTTAAATACGTGATCTGTCATTGACCAAAATGATGTTACGTGGCATACTGTTGTACATAATAAAAGTAAAAGGAATTAAGACTTCCTAATTGATGTTAAGTCGTATCAATATATATTTTGTTTGAATACTAATTTTGACAAATTGGGAAAAAAAAACTCCTTAAGAGAATATTCTTTTTCATTTTTAGTCTTTTAAATTTTAATATACTCTTTAAGCAGAAGCCATCAGTGTGGGAGGTACACGGAGTGAGAGATCACGTATCCAGATTGGAGAGCCTGAGAGAGAAACTGGGGTCCCTCAGTCTCTTGTGAGGAAAAATGTTCCTGGTGATCTAAGGACCCTCTCCTATGCCCTAGCTTTTAAAGGTTCACCCAACTTCTCAACGTTACGATATGAGGGCCCAAGCTTTCAATCCTTGGAGGGAAAACCTCGTCAAGCTCATAGTATATTGCTAGGGCATAAAGTGGACTATAGGCAGTTGAAATTTACTAATATACTACATTAGCACTGGTTTTTGTCAATGGCATAATCCTTGTGAAGATGGCTTTTCATGCATGACTTTAAAATAGCTTGGTAGAAGGCAGGGCTAGCTTTCTATAAAATTATTGCAAAGAGCAAACCTCCAACTTTTAAGAAATGGTGGACTAGGGTACTTGGACAGATTTTTCTTTTGGAAAGAAACAATATGGTTTCTGTTGGATATAAAATATTTTTGAATTTTTAAAAATATATTATGATTTATTAAGGAACGACCAATATCAAGGACTCAAATCAGTGAAAGCAGAAATCTGAAGAAATAAGTGCAGAACACTGAAAGTCACTTTTTGACTTGATGGAATTTGCCTTGTATCTGTAAAATTAAACTTTGCTTTAGAATCATTGTTGAGTGGAGGAAAAAGAAGTCAGAGGCCATTTTGAAAATAAGATGGACAGCTTAATAGGAGATTATTTCTCTTGTTCAATTGCATGTCAAAGGATGACATATTCCCAGTAAGGGTAAATCAGAAGTAGTCCTTCCCTCAGTAACCACAAGCACAGTACAAAGATATTCTCCATAGCTTTGAGGGGTGCGCTTGATGGAATTTGCCCCTGACAACTTCTACTGTGATTTTTATAGCTAAAATTTGTGCCAGGTTTTGTTTGTGACTAAAACACTTAGGCGTCACTCCAGGGAAACTGGGCTAACTGGGCTGTGTGAAATAACCACACAAGAGACAGAAATACCTTTTTCTTTGAGGTTGCTGTGACTGCTCCTCTGACCTTAAGGGTCCACAGAAAGAGAGAGAGAGAGAGAAAGCCCGCAACTACATGCTGACCCCTTTTATTGAAGAGAAGCTATTCAGATGAGGCAAGGGGTCAGGTTTCAGGGGGCTGAGTCTAGCTTCATGATGTCTGATGTCAGCAGGTTGACTGACATCTAGGTAGGCCACACCCAAGGGCACAGTAAGATAAGGGGACACACAAAAGGTGTTTCCATGGAACATTCTATTCCAAACAAGGCAAGGGGTAATATTACAAAGAAACAGGTGAGCATAGCTCCACCCATGGGGCTGTAGGAAGGCATGCCCATGCAGGAAGACACCTTCCCTGGAACCCAAGAAGGGCCGGACATCTAGCGGCATCTGCCACCTGAAGCCTCAATCATCCAGCCAGGGAGTGACTCAGTCACGTGCAAAGTTGGTCTCTCACAAATTTGTGTCACTTTAGTGATACAATAAATCACAATTTTGGGAATTTAATTTTAAGTGGTATTTTCTCTAGGTCCTGGCAGTATCAAAAATACATTTTCTTTCTAGGTGTCTTTGTCCTAGACCCCAAAGATACCCTCTAATAACTTTTGGAGCTCTAAAAGCATTACCTGCCCAAATTACCAAACATACATGGAAAAAAGTCAGTATGAGAATTAATAGAAACAAGAGACAGGGAAAATTTACCCATGTACTCAGATAGTGTGACCGATGCTTTAATTTTCTAAGGAAATTTTGAAAAATGTAAAAATATGACCTAACACATTTGAAAAACTCCAGAAAAAATATATTTTTGAAGTGAAAATTAGAATAAATAAAGTAAAATAAAACCAGAACTTAGCTTTAATAACAGAAATGGCTGAAGAACACATCAGAAGGCTAGAAGGTATATAAGAAGAAATTGTAACCACTTTAAACACATATGTCTAAAAAGATGGAAACTATAGGAAAAACTTAAAAGACATGGAGAATAGTGTATGTCTAACAGTAATTGGTGCATCGAAAGGAGAGCATGGGCCTGAAGCAAAATATAAAGAAGTAATCACTGAGAAATTTACAGATATTAAAATGACAACAATCTAATTTCACAAAGTACAATAAATCCTAATTAGGAAAACTGAAAGAAGCTCCTATCTAGATTTATTATAGTGGTACTCTGAAACATTCAGAACTGAGAAAACTTGAAAGTATTCAGAGGAAGAAAACAGGATTATCCCCAAAGTAGCAACCATGAAAATGACAAAAACCAGACATTTAAACAACAATAATGGACTACTGAAAATAATAAAATGATTTTTGTTGAGTGGAAAGAAAATTACAAAAAATAAAATCTGTTACAATTCTGTACTCAGTGAAGCAATGTGGGAGAGTTTTGCCAGGGCTCTTTCTTCTTTTTGGACAAGCAGTTCTGAAAGAAAAAGATTATTAATGTCCTCTCTGTTCCCATCTTGAATTACCACATTGTGGTAGTTGCAACATCATTGTATCCCTTTCCAGTGGTTACTATGATTTTATTTTTTCCCACAATCATCCTCTAGTAGCATCTCACCTTTTATCTATAGGT